AGGATTAGTGTGTCTAACAGAATGCTTAGGTAAAACCACTTTATCTTTTCTGCTGCATGAAGTTTCTTCACTTAAATGATTTTGCAAAATGCCTCTAAAATCGTTTTAAACAATTAAAAACAAAGCATTTTGACAAAAGCTTTCTTAATAATGTTTTTAACTGATATAGTTTTGAAAGAACCGATTAAAATCACTTAGAATGTTCAAAGACGTGTTTTTACAGTATTTTAATCGATACAAATTTCTTTTAATCGATTAAAACCTTTTAGAACCCATTATGACCGATCAAATTTGAAACATGAGCGATCAGAATTTATTTCAATCGATTAAAAAACGTTTCAATCGATTAAAATCACTTAAAGGTCAGAATGATCGATCAGAATAAAGTTATGACCGATCAGAGTTGGTTATGATCGATCAAAATTTAATTATGACCGATCAGATCTGTTTCAATCGATTAAAACGCATTTCAACCGATTAAAAAAACTTGGAAAAATTTTGTACAGATTTTAAATCGATTAAAACGCATTTCAACCGATTAAAACAACTTGGAAAAATTTTGTAGAGAGTTTTAATCGATTAAAACCTATGGTTTATCAGTTAAAATAACTTGAAAAGTTTTATAAGAAAGTTTGCAGTATTTCAATCGATTAAAACGCGAAAGAATCGATTGAATTAACTTAGAAGATTTTTTGTAAAGTGTTTTAACTGATATAAACGTTGTTGTATCAGCTAAAACAAATCTGTTAAAGAATCAAGAACGTATTAATGGATTGAAAGGACTTTTAACAGATTGAAACGACTATTTCAACAGATTAAAACAAACTTTTAACAGATTAATTAATGCAGCAGTTTTGAAAATACTCTTTAAAAACAGTTTGGCTTGAACTTTTTAAACATACATTGAACATCAGTTTTTACACATCCTTAAGCAATCATTCAAGCAAACCTTAGCACTCTTTTCAAGAAAGATTCGCAACAATTTTTTAGAAGTTCTTTTGAAAATCTTTCTTGAGGCAACTTGCATTCTTTAGAAGAAGAAACTCTCTGCAGATTTGGATAAACTGGTTTGAGCTTTCTAGTTTCTTCTTTGTCAATTCTTTTTCATTCTTTTGTATTGTGTTGTGCCTGGAATTTGGGCACAAGTTTCTCTGCAGCTGGAAGTTGGTTGTAGAGGTTTCTCTGCACCCACAAGTTTCTTAGTGGGTGCGCTTGGAGCTTTTTCTTTCGCCAGCCATGGTTTATGTTTAGGACGATTGAGATAGTCAACAGTGAACCAAAACAGAGAACAGAGAATGTGCGAGTAATTAGAACAGAACCCTATATTAAACATATTAAACCCTACACCAAATGAATAGAATTTTGCAGTGTTATTTCAACTGCACATGTTAACAATATAACAATGTTGATTGACGAGAGCTTTTTTTGATTCAATGTCTTGTTGGCTGGATAACGTCATCAGTAGTGTAGACTATACATTCTGATTTTGTTAGAGTATATATGATAGGACATAAACGTGCAACAGTAGTGTAGACTATACATTCTGATCTTGTAAGAGTTGTGGATGTAAATATAACAATGTAACAGCAATTGTAATTTCTTCAATGCATTTATCAGCAGTTGATGGTCCATACATTTACGTAACAATCATTGGTTGTAGACATTTATCAGACATGTGATAAAAATCACACTGCATGATAACAGCAAACTACCTTCAAAAAAAGCGAACCTAATTGGTTAAAATAACTTGGAATATTCAGAGAAGTGTTGTTACAGTATTTTAATCGATACAACTTGAGTTTAACTGGTTAAAACCACTTCGAGTTCAGGATGATCGATCAGAATACAATTATGACCGATCAGAATAAGATATGATAGATCATAATTTAATTATGACCGATCAGAATCGCTTATGATCGATCAGAATTTATTTATGACCGATCAGAACTCTTTTAATCGACTAAATCTCGTTTCAATCGATTAAAACAACTTAGAAAATTTCTACATAGCTTTTTAATCGATTAAAACATATTTTAATCGATTAAAATAACTTGAAATGTTTTACAAGAAAGTTTTGCAGTATTTCAATCGATTGAATCACGAAACAATCGATTAAATCAACTTAGAAGATTTTTTTGTAAAGTGTTTTAATTGATACAAACGTTGTCGTATCAGTTAAAACAAATCTGTTAAAGAATCAAGAACGTATTAATGGATTAAAAGAAGTTTTAACAGATTAAAACTGCACTTTTAACAGATTAAAAGAATCTTTTAACAGATTAATTAAACCAGCAGTTTTGAAAATCTTCTATTAAAACAGAGTTGCTTGAACTTTTTAAACACACATTGAATATCATCTTTTACACATCCTTGAGCAATCAATAAAGCAAACTTCAGCACTCTTTTCAAGAAAGATTCGCATCAGTTTTTGAGAAGTTCTTTGAAAATCTTTCTTGAGGCAACTTGTTTTCTTTTGAAGAAGAAACACTTACAGCAGAATTGCATAAACTGGTTTGAGCATTCTAGTTTCTTCTTTTTCATTTCTTTACATTCTTTTTGTATTGTTTGGTGCCTGGAATTTGGGCACTGGTTTCTCTGCAGCTGGAATTTGGTTGTAGAGGTTGTCAAGAACTGGAATTTGGTTCTTGGTAAAAGGTTAGGTGTTGGTGCCTGGAATTTGGGCACTGGGTTCTCTGCATTTATATTGATTGATTGCTTTGTAATTCAAGAACAGATCTGGAATCTAAATTTTTGAATTAGATAATCTGTTATTTGCGAGAAGCTTTTAAACATCAATTCACGCCACTTTTTCTAACATTTAGATAGCGGTTATTTGGCCACCGCTATCTGAACTATACATTATGATCGATTATTATCCAGTTTGACATATATGACTTAAGATAGCGGTTATTTGGCCAACCGCTATCTAAACTATACATTATGATCGATTATTATCCAGTTATAATCGATCAGTTTTACATATATGACTTTAGATAGCGGTTATTTGGCCAACCGCTATCTAAACTACATATATGACTTTAGATAGCGGTGATTTGTCTAACCGCTATCTTAGGTCGCCTCTCGCTCAAGCGACTATTTAATCGCTTGAGCGAAAGTTGAACCTTTACCAAACGAAACCATCGCTTAAGCGACAAAACCTTCAATTGGTGTGAATATTTGTGTATGAAGTAGATTAAACTGTTAATTTGGCATGAATATTTTTCAATTGGTGTGTTTGGATGTAGCAGAGAGTCATGTAATATTTTTTTGCACAAAAACCTGATAATTTGTTAGATTAATTTGTCAAATTTTGAATTGTTTTCTATAATTATGTGAATATATAATGTCAAATTTACATTGATGTTTATATGTCTACAACAATTAAAATTCACAAGTCATTCATTATTACAATCCTTCAATTTCATGTTAACAAATTGTTCCACCATTTCATTGTACACAAGACACTATATAATTGCATCCTGTCTTTTCTTTCTGGTGGCACTGCACCAACAGGGTTCACATATGACCTGATGAAGAACATGACCTCTTGCCTTTGTCCTCAGCCTGGCACCGACAAAAGAAAAAGAGCGTCAAAGAGACTGAGGATTATAATGAAACATCACTATAATGCCAGTTTAAATACAATTGGACAAATCCGTTATTAACAAAGTATTGGGTGTCAAGGACCTTTGGGGCTATCACCTCCTTCGTGGTCACAGTTTGGGTACTTGAAGAAGTCGCTTCTGAGTGGGTGCGGTTGGAGCTTTTTCTTTTGCCAGCCATGGTTTATGTTTACGACTATTGAGATAGTCAACAGTGAACGAAAACAGAGAACAGAGAATCTGTGAGTAATTAGAAAGCAAAGAATACATTAACCTCGATGGTTGTTGTATGCTTCTTCTTTACCATGCAAACGAAATCAAACAAGATGAACCATCAAATTAAAATTCAAAACCGTGATCAACAACCATATTAAACCCTAAACATAGACGAACCAAAGCCGGGAGAGAACGAACGTTTCTTTTGCGTGCGCCGACGAGAGCGAGAGGAAGAACAGCGAGACAGAGAAGACAAGCGAGAGCGAAAGGAAGAACATATATTTCACTTTTTACCATTACATCCCCATTTTTACAATATTACATCTCTGTCCCCTACAATTTTACTAGTCAAACCCTTATTTTTAACTAAATTCTTTTTCGCGAACGGACGTTTGTTTTCCGGTTGTCAAAGTATCGTTTTCCATTTTTTTATTCAATAACACTGTACATTTATTATTTTTTATTGGGTTGTCGAACAAATGTTTAAAATGGATTGTCAAAATATCAGGACTCTATTTAATATTATGATTGATTATTTCGGGCAATCAATTCTCGCTCAAGCGAGACATTTGCTAAACATATTTGTTGTGTTAAAATTTATATCAGGAACGCCCATGCTACTTTTTCATTTCCATAAACAAATTGAATTTTTGTCCTACTGAAATCAAATGATTAAAAGATCCAATAGAATGATTAAGATTTATTTTATTTTTCTTTTTGAATTTTTTGTATGATTTTGTTTTTAATTTCATTTATGTATATATATATATATATATATATATGTTAATGTATGATTAAATAACAGTATAAAAAATTTCTTAATACAATGTATTTTATTTAAATTTCTAATGATATTAGAATATTACATCAATATCATTATATAAATATTTTTTTAATAATATGATGAGGAAAAGATAGATAATATAAATTAATTATGATGGTATTATATATTAAAAAAGAAAACAGAAAAAAAAGTATACATATATTGAAAATAAAAAAAGGACCTGTAATACAATTAAGAAATTGAGAGAAATAAAAAATAAAAAAATACTACTACAAAAAATTGTGAAAGAAAAATAAATAAATAGTCATAGCCTCAAAGGAGAAAAGAGCGTCTACACCTTCGTGAACTTGAATTTATTGGTTTTCTCCCTCCAAAAATCCCCCCCTTCCGGTCGGAGGATGGCGTCAAGTTCACATGGCGGCAGCGGCGGCGGCGGCGCTGCACGACTAAAAAACGCCGCTTCCACCTTTTGCTCCGACTCTCAGCCTTTAATTGCTGTAACTAATTCCCACCTTTCCCTTTTCTTCACCACTTCTCATTGCTCGTCACTCATTTTCTAGGGTTCTTTCAGGATATTCGAAAAACCGTACTTATGATGAAGGACATCGCAGTTCAATTGGAGAAAGACAAGCACTCTGACAAGGTTTTTCTCTTTTTCAACCATTCAACATCTTTGTGTTTGATAATATTATTTCCTGAGCTAGAGTGAAATGTGAACATTTCAGGTGAAGGAGCTTGAAGATGCGGTTATTGAGTTAGTAGGACTATCTGAACTCAGTGTGCAATTTTCTTCCGCGGTTCAAGTTTTTGCCAATAGATACCAGCCTGGAGAAGAGGTTCCGGAAGCTAACACCTTTTGTTTTGTTCCTCTTATTATTGTATTTGTATGTTATATTACTTATAATTTGGAATCTAATTATCTTATCCTTGTTACAATTGCAGTTAACTAATTTTAATAAGTTGTTTGAGGACGAGCTTTCCAATTTTAAGGCCAACCATTCTTCAGATCTTCCTAAAAATCCTTTAATACGCCAATTTAAGGAAGCTGTATGGGTACGTTGCTTTGTTTTAGCATGTAGATGAAATTATCTATCGCATTTTTTTTTTATTATTTTTGGTTAGGAATTAGTGGACTTCCGTACTTTTGAAGTATTGTATCATTTCGTTTATAATCTTGTTCATGCAATGAGTAGTGGTGACTGAGTTTAAAGATTGGGAAATGTATCACTCATCTAGAGACTAGAGTGTTGTCTTTATTGCTGGCAATGATTTTAAATTCTGGCAATGTTGATGTAACTACTCTCTCTGGTAAGAACATGTTGCACTACCGTACTTTCACATCCTTGTCTTACGATTGTGGGTCCTAGTCAATTGAAGGATACCTTCCCACTACTTTTATATCTGAGTTGTAATTTGCAGAATCCTTCATTTGCAATTACAGGAGCTTGTAACACACACTATAATCCATTCCTTCTAAGACACTCTATCATTGGTTAAATTTAATGGGAAAGTAGAAAATCATGAGTGGATCTCATTAAATAAGAAGTGGGACCTACAAAATTACATAATTTCTAATAAATTTTAGTCAACAATACAGAGTATGTTCAAACCAGCTTATTACTTTGACTGTTGCTAACATTTCTCTTTCAATGAATTTTTGTGTCACCTTTTTCATGACAGTGGTGGACCTTGACTACAATTTTTTGGAGGAGCCACAAGATACTAGTTAAAAATTATCTAATTAAACTTATATTATTCATATATTGTTTTTTCAAAGTTTCAAATAACATACTAGTGTAAACTAACAACAAGCTATATAAGAGAACAAATATACATGCATTTATGTTGCTGCTCTTTACTCCTTTTTTAGACTTGGAAGTACATTTTAGAAAGACTTGGAAGTCATCAATGGGTGAATCAGATCAAAATATTTCTGCAATTTCTTTTTCAACATAAACCACTATATTGTTTGGAAGAAATTCATCTTCCATCTTATTATGGAATCTTATTTTGATTATTTTCAATGCTGAAAATTATCTTTTATAATGGATGTGGAAACTGGAAGATTTAAGATAAAGCAAATTACTTGTTCACTGAAACATTTAAGATAAATCAAATTACTTGTTCACTCAAGTTATATGTGTTTGCCTTTCTTGTTTCTACTAAAACTTCGCACAATTGACAAGATCAAGAATAATGTTAAGGTTCTAACATAAAACTAATTGGCAATATGTGGTGTAGCCTAACAGATATTTAAACTATACCACATGACATGTGGCAGACGATATAAGACTTCCAACACGTCCCTCCAACGAAGTTTGCCGGATTAGACAAAAGGTACTTTTGACCTACAACGAAAGGATAACTCTTGGCCCAAGACAACAACCGGAAAAAAGTTAGACTTTAGCTATGATATTATGTTAAGGTTCCAACATAAAACCAATTTGCAGTATGTGGAGTAACTTAATAGGTATTTAAACCATACTACATGACATGAGATAGGTGATGTGGACCTTCCAACAAATAAAAATTATTGAAATTGAAATCTCAAATTAATCTTCTCTTGTTCTTAAAAATCCACAGGGATAAAATTTATTTATAGATTGCTCATATAAAAACCAAATTAAATGCTTTATAAACATCCTTAGAAACTAAACTAGGTCTAGTGTTTTATAAACATCTCAAAGAGCCAAAGACTTCTTGATCCACCTCCTCCTCTCTTCTGTGCATTTTTCACTTTTTTTTCTTCTCCTTTTGAAAATATGAATGATTATTCAAAAACATTATAAATATAGTTTTGATGAACCACTAAAATATTTTATGTACAAAAACAGTAGGCATAAATTTTTTGGAGAGAGCCATGGGTCCTACTGACTCCTAAGATGGTCTGCTGCTGCATGTGTGTAGGTGCATCCTTTTTCTCATGCTCACTTAGACACCGATATTTATGTCTTGAGAGAGGAGGGAGAGAGAAGACGTAAACACTGGTTTGCACATTTTAATATGCATTATATTATGCTTCCATGATATTGTGTAATGTGTAACTTTTGTAATCATATCATAATATTGCCCACTGATACTTTACTAAGTTCCTTCCACAAGAGTGTTGTTAATTAGATTCTGGTAGGTCTGATATTTCTGCTAAACTGAATATACCTCTTATTGATATGAATTGACCTATCTATGTGGTAGGACAAAATTCCCTCACACAAAGTAATGACAATGCACTTTACAAACTGGAAGTAATCTTCTCAGTCCTTCCCTTTCTCTCACCACTAGAGATCACTTCGAAAAAATCTCCCAAAAAGAAAAACTAAAAACTAAGCCCTCCCTGATAGACTTATATGCTAAGTCTGTTCTGCTTAAAAAAATAGTTACAATGTCAACGGTTTATTAACCCGTTTTTTCTCTCCTTTTATAGACTAACCTATATCTATCATTACTCCCCCCTGAAGTTTCACCTTGTCCTCAAGGTGAAATGCAGGAAATTTCTTGGCTATGACTTCAGCTAATTCCCAACTATTTTCCGTAGGTGGAAGGTCTTTCCATTGGATGAGTGCTTCCATCTTCCCTTGACTGTTGGTACGTGTATCCAGTAATTGAGCCGGTGACATAATTAATTCATGATCTTCTATTAATAAAACTGGTAATGGTTGAGGATCTGTTGACAGCTGAATGGTTTTTTTTAACAAACAAACATGAAATATTGGATGTATTCTACTGTGTGGAGGTAACTCCAATTTGTAGGCAACCTGTCCAATTCTATCAATCACTTGGTAAGGTCTATAAAATCGCGGAGCTAACTTCTCATTTGGGCGCTTAGCCAAGGATTTAAGCCTATAAGGTTGTAGCTTCAAATATACCCAATCTCCAACTTGATACTCAACATCCCTGCGATGTTTATTGGCCTGGACTTTGTTTTGATTATGGGCCTTAGCTAGGTTCGCTTTTAACTCCTTAAGAATGTCATCCCGCTCCTATTGTATTTGATTAACACTGTCAACCTTTGAAGGAATTGTAGATCTTTTCAATAACAAAGGTGGGTCATGGGCATAAAGTGCTTTGAAGGGAGTCATTCTGGCGGAAGCATTGTAGTTGGTATTAAACCAAAATTCTGCCCATGGGAGCCATTGTGGCCATTTCTTAGGTTGTGTTCCTGTCATGCAATGGAGATATGTCTCGAGACAGTGGTTGACTACTTCGGTCTGGCCATCGGTTTGGGAATGGTAAGCTGTACTAAACTTTAATATGGTCCCAGCTTGACGAAATAATTCCTTCCAGAATTTGCTTAGGAAAAGTTGATCCCTATCTGAAATAATTGTAGAAGGAAAATCGTGAAGTTTAACTACTTCTTTCAGAAAAACCTGAGCTACGTCCGCTGCAGGAAAAGGATGTACTAAGGAAAAGAAATGGCCATATTTGGTAAGTTGATCCACTACAACAAATATAGTGTCTTTCTCTTGAGCTTTAGGTAATCTCCCTATAAAGTCCATTGAAATATCAGACCAAACTTGAGTGGGTATAGGGAAAGGTTGCAGTAACCCTGCTGGAGCCAACGTGTCCGATTTATTTCTTTGACATTTTGCACAATGGGTCACAAAGTCCTTAATGTCTTTCTTCATTCCATTCCAATATACCACTCCTGCCACCCTTTCAAATGTTTGGAAAAATCCACTTTGCCCCCCCAATGGAGATTCATGCAAATCTTTAATTATAACAGGAATACGTGAGTACGTGCATGGTAAAACCAGTTTGTCCATATAGAACAGTTTGCCTTTTACCCATTTGTAACTGTTAGGAATTGGAAAGTATATGTTAGGAGGAAAAAATTAAATAATAACTAACTTACAGTTAGTTATGGGTGGTAGAGCATAGTTTTTAAATAAGACTATATATAGTTGTTTGAGGGGTGAGAGAGGGGGATTATTTTGGGAAATTAGTTCACTAACAGGATGTAATTACATCCTGTGAGGGGAAGTTGTTGATTGTAATCAGAGTATTGTTCATGTTAAAAGCAATAATAAAAGTACTTGTGAGTATTGTTTCCTGTGTGCGTAAGAGGAGAGACGTGAGTTTGCGTGGAACCGTAGGTTCTTTCTGTCACAGAACCTAACAATTTGGTCCGACCTGCCGGATCCAAAATCAAGGAGCCATGGACGGAAGAGTAGGAGTGCTGGAAAGGTGGGCTGAACGGTGGACCAGTGAACAAGAAAAAGTGAATACAGAGCTGAGAAATGCTATTCAAGAAATGAAAGATTTACTCAAGAATTTCAAGAAAAGTGACAGAGAATTTGAGAAGAGTGAAAATTCGGTACAAGGGGGGATAGGAGGAAGATTGGAGCAAGAAGATTCTGAGGAAGAAGTAGTAGTGCAGAGACAGTGGGTGAGGGTGGATCTACTTGTGTTTGAAGGAACTGACCCTGTGGGGTGGATTGGAAGGGTGGAAAATTTTTTTGAGATTCAAAAGATCAACCCAAGAGAGAAATTGCGTCTGGCTTTTATCAACATGGAAGGGAATGTGAATCATTGGTTCAGATTTTGGAAACAAAAAACCAAGAATCCTTCTTGGGAAGAATTCACTGTGGCTTTGAATAGAAGGTTTGGAGGAAAGGAACGAAGTACAGTCTTCGAGAGATTGACAGCCATTAAACAAGGAGGAAGTGTGGAAGAATATACTCAGGAATTTGAAATTTTAGTGTCTCAAATCCCAGCTATGGAGGAAGACCAGCTTCTTGGATATTTTTTGGCAGGACTAAGAATTGAAATTCGAAAACAAATCAGGTCTCACGACCCAAAGGATTTGTTAAGAGCTATAGAGGTAGCAAGAGATGATGAAGATGTCATGAAAGAAACAAGTGGAGGAGGAGGAAATGTGTACCAGAACAAAACTTTTGGATTTCGTTATCAAGGAGGAACGAGCAAGATATCAAGAATCGAGACCTTTAAAGGATCTGGTTCTTCCCAAGGAGTGCCCAGTAATAACAGTACTGCCAGGAAGGGGACAGGGGATATTTCATGGGGGTCCAAGGTAGGAAATACTTCTATAGGTGAGGTTAGAACAAGAGGAGTGAAGAATCTACCAT